ACAAAATTTAAATTGTGACGTCATTTCCTCATGGCGTCTGGTTAGCAAGTCTCAAGATATATTTTCTTGTACAGCTCGTTTTGTGAATCTAACTTGTGTTTCCGTTCCGTATTTTAGTCAAATATTTATTCATTAAGAAAAGACATTTAAAATACTATTTTAACTCCATGTGAAGCCATTGAACTATACGCTTAATCTCCACCACGTTTATTTAATTTGATTTCTTTATTTCATATTATTTAAAATTTAAAAAAAAACCATATGCAAATACATCAGATAAAACCAGCATGCAAAATATAAAAAAATACAATATATATAATTTTCAAAGAAAACAATATCAATTAAGAAAACAATAATAGTTTAACAAAATGAACCGTTAGTAGCATGCACAAATCAAACAACATATTTTCAGTTGTGCCCGACAATTCAAAAGTGAATCTATATTTATTTGGAAACTATTACTTACAACATTAATAGCTGAACAAATGCAGTGATTATAACTACAAATGCATTAGCTCAATGAGTAGCTGCAAAAATTGTGTGACATTTTCATCAACACAATAGCTTGTTTGATAAATTAAATGAACGAACCTTCTACTATATCAAGGAAACATGGGCCTAATATTTTCTAATGAATATCACAGCTCAAGGGACAAGTTCATCTTCGAACTTCAATTGATTCCATCATTGGACAGATCGGAGTAGTCTATTTCTGATTTTTCCAAAAAATATCGATCAACACTACAAACACAGAATTCGTTTAAATCACATATAGGTTAATTTAAAATTACAAATATAACTTATTAATTGGAGCACAATGTGACAAAGGCCTTAGCAACCAATCGAAGGCCCGTAATAAGCGCGGTTTCTATTGTTGAGCCGAAATCCCCCACCCACCCGTCCACTCATGAAGACATGCTCTAATATCTAACGATCGAATTTGCTCCATTTTCTCAAAATAGCCCGAAATAATATATTTTGAGAATAGAACAAATGTAGCTGAGCCTATTTTCATATGAACTTTTAGTTGTTCTAGAATCTATATTGTGTTAGTTACTCACTTATTTCCTTGGGGATTTTAAGTGATTTTCAATTATTCCATTAAAGTTAAATTCACAGAACTGAAATCTTTAGTGATCTACATGTTTTAAGCTTTGACATAAAAACAAGCATAAAAAAAAATAATTTACTGGGAGATTTTGGTAAACAAAATATGTATAAAGAAAGGTAACTCAATGAATATAGGCCCAGAGAGAAATAATTGGGTTAATTATTGTTTTTTTATTATTTTAGTTTTGCGGAAATACTTTTATTAAGTAGGCTAAGGTTTGCTTTAGCGTTCGTCTCGCCAATGTACAGCGTATTTTGCATGCATACAGTAGGTGAATGAATTGACCCTTTCTTCATTTGTTACGTGGTAGATGGTGCTTCACGACACCTGACTTTCTTCATTTGTTAGTTTATGTTCACACCCAAGCGATGTATACGTCCCTACACCACCATTCAGATTACACATTCCTTTTGATGAAGTCAACTGTGTGGACGAAAGCTAGAGAATAAATTATATATTGTTAGTCTCAAAAGAATATAGGCCCAGAGAGAAATAATTGGGTTAATTATTGTTTTTTATTATTTTAGTTTTGCGGAAATACTTTTATTAAGTAGGCTAAGGTTTGCTTTAGTGTTCGTCTCGCCAATGTACAGTGTATTTTGCATGCATACAGTAGGTGAATGAATTGACCCTTTCTTCATTTGTTACGTGGTAGATGGTGCTTCACGACACGTGACCATTGGAGAAACGCTTAACTGGCTGAAGAAGGTAAAAGGGGTTTCCGAAAATTCCCAGTATGTTGAATTAATGTTTGAAGTTTAAAATATTTCCAGTATACACCAACATTGATGAATTATTATTATCAGGTCTATTAGTAAGCCATAAAAGCTTTGTTAGTTTATGTTCACACCCAAGCGATGTATACGTCCCTACACCACCATTCAGATTACACATTCCTTTTGATGAAGTCCACTGTGTGGACGAAAGCTGAGAATAAATTATATATTGTTAGTCTCAAAAGTGCTGCTGTTTTTTACTTTATACTTTCTATACTGTACAGACTAACGCGGCTATACTTTTTATTCATCACATTCCTTTTGGAAGATGTTTCTAACTTTTCGGAAGCTCGCAACTCGTACGAATGAAATATAATAAAGCTATCCACAATTTCTTATAAAACTCCTATTTAACGTCAAACTCCTACTATAGTGATCATTCTTGGATTTATAAGTACGTTTCCGAGTTTTGGAAACTTGGAAACTTGTTTTTCAATTAGACACGCATTAGTTTTACAGAATTAATTCTTTAGAAAATGTTACAACATTTAAAACGCTGATAACATGGATATTTCGCAAACTTAAAACACTACCACAAATCACTGTAAAATGAACATCAAAACTGAGAAGGGGAAATTAGCAGAAGCGATACGCAGAAACGGTGAAAACGTGTAAGCACCTCCAAAGTTATAGCATCAAGCCAACGATAAATCTTGCACACAATAAGATTTTGAGAAAAATAACAATAAAATTATCTGACGCCCACACTAGACGTGTCCTGTATACTGTAGCAATGAATATTCGGTAGAAATAAACAGCAGACGACTAATTTAATGTGGCTAACTTTTAAGACTGCCAGGAGACAAGCCGGCAAAACCCGCCCGGAAAGAAACAGATCGTAAAGTTAAACAGCCGAAAGGTAGGCAAAGCGACACACATAATTTCCTTCGCCGCGTGTACTCAAGCATGTATTCGACAAACAACTTTCAACTTTCAAAAATATTTAAGAAATCTTACCCTCAACAGTTATGAGAAATTAGTGGAACTCGTTGTTTTCACGTGGAAAATTTTCGTTATCATAGGCCTAATAAGGATGATAATGATTACGATGTATAGTATTATACGACTAGATTCCTATTCCGTTTCTTTTATTTTTGGTATAAATCTATTATCGCTGGCAATTTGATTCTGTTTGCTCGTTATGTGGCGCATTAATTAATGTTTTCACTCGTGCTTTGATCAACGGTTATATTGTATCTAAAGGCCAAATCAGACAGCGTCGTACGACGCAGACCCGACGCGATTTGTTGTTGTGTGTGAGTTAAACGCAGACGCGATGGTGTGAGTCGGGGCAGTCGCGTCGTAGAATATTAAACATGTTTAATATTTCTCACGACGGCTCAAGACTGTCCCCGACGATAAATCGGGTCGGGCTGCGTCGGCCGACGCTGTCTGAGTTGGGCTTTACGGACAGCAACTTTGTTTCATACGTTAGGAACATTTTACTGTTGATTGCTATGCAACAGCACATTTCACATTCCATTCGTATCTACAGAATGATGTCAGATGGAGCTTAGCACAACATATTAATCATCATTGTTTAATAGATTGAGAGTCTAAGATAGGTATTTAAATTGTATAAGCTTTTAGTTGGTGCTTTATATATTTATAATTTGATTCACCATAATGGACCTTTAAACGCATTGAACAATGTTACTGTAGATCCCAAAAAACCTACAGCGTCATACATCAGCGTACGTGTGAACTTGCATGTTTGTGGGACATGCGCGTATTCCTGGTCGTGTTCTGATTGGTCAGTTTAGTTTGACTTGCACTCCGAAAATACCCATTTACCAAACTCTCAGATGATTATTTATAATTTGATTCACCATAATGGACCTTTAAACGCATTGAACAATGTTACTGTAGATCCCAAAAAACCTACAGCGTCATACATCAGCGTACGTGTGAACTTGCATGTTTGTGGGACATGCGCGTATTCCTGGTCGTGTTCTGATTGGTCAGTTTAGTTTGACTTGCACTCCGAAAATACCCATTTACCACACTCTCAGATGATTATTTATAATTTGATTCACCATAATAGACCTTTCCACGCATTGAACAATATTACCAAGATCCCACAAAACCTAGTGTCATACATCAGCGTATATGAAATTGCATGTGTGTGGGACATGCGCGTATTCTCGGTCGTGTTTTGATTGGTCAGTAAAATTTGACTGACACTCCGAAAATACCCATTTACCACACTCTCAGATGATTATGCATCTTTATTGGGACCTTATGATTACGGCACCAAACAGCATATGGAAAATTATATTGTAAGACTATAGATAAATGTTAGTAAATCGTTGTCTTTTTAAGTTTGCCTGAAGAAAGGTTCGGAAAATGATAAATATTAATATTCAAATCCTAAAAGGAAAGCACTTGTGATTGTAGTGCAGTATGGGCGATTATAGCATAATAATAATTGCTATTACATCATCAACCTTCTCCGAAAAATTGTTTGATCTTCACCGTAGTACTTTCGTCACAGCTGTTCATACATTACTTCTAGAAATAATCGCATCGTAACTTACGTGATGTGTTTGCTCTCATTTTCCACTATTATTGTTATGAATGTCGTCATTAATTATTATGATTATAAAACAATCACGATACGTAATAAATTACGCAAACGTCTATTCAAACTACAGACTATGCAAAGTTTTTATGTGAGGAAACAACGTCAAGCGGACGTACGGTTGCGCACGCCACATATGCGCAATGATGACAACCTAGCTCAATGCAAGTTCTTTAATGTTCGTGGTTTGTCGTCTCATTCCGGTTTTCATTACGGCGCGTAGTGGATGTTTAAAGGTTAACTGTTAATCCGATAGGTGGTATTCAGATATCATATTAAAAACACGAATCATGAAGATACACGACCGATACAAAATAATATTTAATTGCATTGAAATTTTATTTATTATGTTTTGCATATTTGTTTTGATATTGAAAACAAAAGCAAGTTAGACCGCATAAAATCCTATCTGAATTTAAGTAAACAAGGTATTTACTTAAGCTGAAAGAATACAACTAATCTTAAATAAATATCGACATTAAACATACAGAAAGTTAAACATTCATTATAATATCAATTTATAGCCACCTACCTTGGAATATGCAGCCATATTCAGTATGATTTCGTCAACTGTTGAGCGTCAAATCCAAGATCTATTTAGGGAGACACCGGTTATTTTGGTTTAATTATCACGTGGATAAATTACCAACAAAATGCAAAACAGTGCAATGCGACACAGTTTTATTGTGTGCAAATTCTGGCCTTAATGAGGAGTTGATTCAACACTTCCATTGCAACAAAAAAGGCGGTAGGCAACATGTAAGTAGTGTTTAAATGACTCCGAATGTGGCTCTTTATTCGAAGCTAAGCATCTCTGCAGACACAATTCCTCACAGAATCATACCGGCAATTAACCGATCCTCACAATTTGCGTCGAATTCGTAATCAATTTGCTTGGAAACCACTGGTGACGTCATCAAAGTAATGCGTTTTATTTAATGCTTGAGGGCGTGCAGCCGTGTTCAATATCGCAATTTGCCTTTGAAGACTGTCGTCTTTTAGTTATATTTAATTTCAATTATTAGATCTAAAATAATTGAAACATAAATTACATTTTAATCTTGTTAATTTATCGTTCGATCGGATTCATTCATATATACTCAGCTAACAATGTTACGCTTACAGTAATAACTCAATAATAATATTGCAGTTTGGTGTTCAAGCGAATTTTTAAAGAACGATAAATACATATTTATAACTCGATTTCTGACTAAATATAGTTACAAATGTTGCAACGTATCTAAGGATTTTAAACAAAGTCCCTGCATAGTTCTGCTAAGGTCCACAGAACGGACGCACGTACACGTGTGTTCGTCGGACATGCGCGTATTTCTTGTGTTGTCGATACATATCGAACTCAACCATCACATTGCATAAAACGTTCTTCACTACGTGTAGAATGATATGAATATAATAGTAATACAACTACAATACACTAAGATTAATTCAATTCAATTCTTTAACATGCCTTTTCAGACGCATTCAATAATAATAATTTGCCGTATAAGCATACGTTATATACATACCATGAAAACGTCGTTACACAAGAGGTATTCGTACATTAGGACGATACGATACGATACGAGAAGTTTTATTGCAATTTTTATCATACAAATTGAAGTTGAACAATAAACCATGACAACATAGAACAATTGCATCACAAAACGCTAATAGAAGTATCAAATAAAAAAAAATAATACAATAACATTAAACAATAATAAAATAAATCCTTAATCGAAAAGATAGAAAACGAAAATTAAATATTTCATGAAATACAGGTACAAATAGAGTATGTATGTGCGTTGAGTACTAGTGCTGTTTCATTATATGCAAAAGGGTGAAAGCAATGGATTTCATATTCCAAAATTTCCAGCACAGCCCATAATAGACCTTTCCGGAGTGTCAATCAAACTTATCAACTGACTAATCAGAACAGCGCTAGGGATACGCGCGCGTCTCACAAACACACGTGTTTTCCCACAAACGCACGTGTTCGCGTATGTTTTTTAACACTGTCGTCTTGTGGGACCTTAGCAACAATATCCAAGGGGCGGGGCTTAGCGGAAAGGTCCATTTGACACGTGTGCTTGTAGGACACGCGCGTATTCCTGGCCCTGTCCTTATTGGTCAGTTGTCAAGTTTGATTGAGACTCCGGAAAGCTCCTAGAATATCAGGCCATAAATAAAAACGTATACTAGTACCATGGCAATGTATTACATTGCCTCGCATCAAAGAGGCGATCTCTCTCAGTGGGCCTAATTATTGGTCGTTAGTAAGATATCTTAGTACACTTATTATCTAATTTTATGTATAACTGGTGGTGTAGTCTGGTGTATCAATAGTGTATACAGTTATCTAATTTCCTATAGCATGTCACAAGAATCTCAGTGGTCAGTGAAGTACTGTAAAACCTCGAATTGAAGCCATGGGCTTCCTTTTTTTTGCGAACTTTGGATGGGCTTCTTTTCGAAGCTACTTTTTCAAAGTAAAGAGGGTGGGGGGAGGCTTCTTTTCAAAATGAATGCCGTAAATTTGTTGAATTTGTACTAGATAAAACAATACATTAAGGACACTGAAACATCAATCTGTATCATGGAGTGCATTACTGGCATTAAATCACCTAAACTACTGTATAAACCAAGCTTGTTTTTAATTTATTAATAATATTTATTTTTTTTTAAATTCATGTACAGTGTGTATATTGTAGTATTTCTAACAGAAGCCTATGCTATCTTGAAAAGAAGCACATGGGCTTCTTTTCGAGGCTAACTTTGCAAACTGAAGAGTGGGCTTTAATTTGAAATGGGCTTCTTCTCTAAATTAAGCTCACTGGGCTTCAATACTGTCTCTTATACACATCTAGATGTGTATAAGAGACAGGCCTTGAGCCCATCCCAGTTGCTGTTGCTAAACATCAATAAAATAACAGAGAAAATAATTTGTTTCTTACAATTTATTAAAAATCTCAAAATCCATTTCATAGGTAAATATGTTTCCCTGAACAAGTTTATAAAATTAAGCAAAAACAAATATACAGCGAACAAAGCAGGGGTTAAGAAATGATCTATTTTTAATTCTATTCATAGTGCTTTAAAAAAAATATAATAGTATCTCAGTGATTACAGTGTTATTTTGGTCTACTGCATGTATTGCAAATTATATAGTATACTGTATTAATAAAGATAATAATAATAATTATAGTATATAATAATAATAACATTAAATAAATAATAAAACTATAATAAATAATAATATTATTAATAATAATAATAATGATAATAATCATAATAAATAATAATAATAATAATAATAATAACAATAATAATAATAATAATAATAATCTTTTTTGATATACACTTTATATCAGTGGCACTCAGCTACATAGGCAGTGCATCCATAAAAAAGAAAATTAACAATCAGGCCAAAAAAAGTCAGCATTTCACAAAAATATATGAATTTAAAAAAATTACAGCAATAATAATGGTAGACTTTTATAGATTGCATTATGGTAAGACCTCTTTGCAATTCACATTGAAGTAAATACCTATGGAACACAAACTCAGCTCCCCTTTGGAGTACCAGCGCATTTGGCATTCTCATCCTACCAGGGATCCACTTATACTCCTTCAATTCCCATCACTGTGTTTCAGCTGGAGAGCTAAAATGCAAGTTTCAAAAGGGCACCTTCATTCGGATGAGTGTTTAAGCTGTTTATCCTGTGTGCATTATGGCCATGTGCATGTTTAATGCAGTACACCCTTCGCAAAAGCATTGTCTTCCGGTGTACTACCCAATGCACCACCAGAAGGACCCCACTGGAAATAAGTCTTCTTCTAGACTTTCGTGGGCTATCCTCGGTGTGTATTGCTCATTAACAACTGAAAGAATGAATAAACTCAATAAACTCATACATCATTCTAAAGCTAATTCATTATAGAATATGATACAATTAATAATAATTTGCAACTTTGTCCAGATTTTGTGGAAAAACGTCACATCTGATTTTGTGATTAGGTTCATAGAAGTGTCTTAAGATGATTCGAAAGTTGGTCACAGTAGGTTGTTGTCCTGTGTTTGTGTTCAACAGCTTCAAGCTCTTGTAGTAACAGGCTTGGTTTAATTCTTCCTGCTTCTTTTAAAACATCTGTAAAAATAACGAATCACATAAATTAATTAAAGATCAATCAACAGATAGACATATACAGCAGAAATGTCAACATATGTCATTTACACTGAAATTTCTAGACCCATATTGAAAATAAGTTTTCTTTTTGAAGATTTACATGGGCTTTCCTGGTGTATGTCATCTTTCTAATGTATATATACTATGCTATTACATTATGCCTAGTATTCTTAAAACAACCTTTAGCTGTAGTTCGAGCTGAAACTTTAAAGTTACTTGAGTTTGACTAACTAAATCATGTGATCTCGAATCGATGTCTATGCAGACCAATTTTTCTTGTCTGGTCTTGTCTAGTCTAGAGAAGGCCAAATCACCAACTCTGAATTTTTCAAGAAATAAAAATAGTACCTCACGCGGGCCTAAAATTATTGTAAGTGTAATTAATGAAACAACTTTCAAAATTAGCTTTCAATGGGTGACATTACCATGTTTAGCTTGCTAAATGCTATAGTTCCTGATTTGCATAAAATTCGCTTGCGAGTTGATCTGCAGCCACAAAGATTCACTGTCAACAAAGATGGCACCGCGCTAACGAAAAACTGATCCAAAAATCCTAGGCCGGACTACTAGTCCAATACAAATTTTAAGTGGAATTTGTATGAATACAAATCATAAGTCCAGTTGAACAAATAGTGAAGTCTGTTTTAAGAATACTGGCATTAAGATTTGTCATTTTCTATGGTTGCTTTTTTTTAATGTGATACTACATATACGTGAATGATTAAATCAAAACAATGTGTTTAATAATTCAATTGTAAATGCAAAATTATATAAGTTAAATAATCAACAAAAAAACGGAAGGAAATGTAGGTACAAAAATTAAAAACTGGAAATTTAAAAAATGGAACATGCAAAGAAGGATGCTAATCCATACCTAGTAGTTCTTGTTGAATTTGAGGGTAAGGATCATCTAGATGCACCAGAAGTCCTTTATACATCCCTTCCAAGTGCGCGCCATACAACGATGTGTCATAGTCATCGGGGAAACACTGGAAGTACGTTGAAAAAGTCCTCGCAACCGCAACTCTAATGTCGTCGCTGCTGTCGTCCAGTCGCTTCAGTAACTCAATGTAGAAACTGTGAAGATGGTCCGGATCAAAGTTCTTCCCACAGAGAAGTAGGAACTTTCGGAAAATGCGGCACGTAATGAGACGAGTCGACTTGACCTCATCCTCCAGTAGGGTCTTCAACTGGGTTAACAACTCATCAAATAACTCCTTCGCCTTGAATTAATGAAAATAATTTAATTTAAGTGTGTTTTTTGAATGTTAGAAAACACATACAGCTCTAACTAGGGTTACGTGTTACATTACAGCTAATCAAATGAAGAAGATCTGCTTTTAAGACAAGTATACAAGGATGAAATATATACACATGAACCAACTAAAAAATGACAATGAGTTCAATATGTAAGTCAGTTTTTTACTAGGTTGTTTTATGATTTTTGTACCTGTTCTTGGGTCAGCAGTTCACTTTGAAACAAGGCCCATAGACACGACACAGCAGTAGTCCTTATGGCGGCACACACCCGTCCTGCATGCCACACGCAGTTAGGCAATACCATCTCTTTTACGACCACCACAGCGAAATTTTCAAAGCCCTGCTGGGAATCGATGGAGGCACCGGAATTCATCACAAGACGCGACAGGAGGGAGAAGAATTTCAGTCGGAGTTCGGGATCTTTGCTGGTTCGGAGGTTTTCCCGTAGCATGGGTATGACATCATTAAGGAGAGCACCGAGGATTGGACCTGGAAAGCATATTGAGTAACATTAATTAATGCTAATTATTAGGCTTGGTTGGATTTATGTGCTATTGTACTAAGCACAGAAGAAAAGTTGTAAATCCTAAGATTGACTTAATATGACATGGTATAATATTTGTCTGACTGACATTTACTAATTGAATGAAGATTAATGATTGATGATTGTTTCAACTGATTGAGTTTCTTCCTCCATATTGAGATTAAGTTAATGATTGATTATGACTGATTGTGACAGATTACAACTGATTGTGACTAATTGATTATGACTAGTTGATCAATCAATTGTTTGACTGGTTGATTGATTGATTGGTTTGTTGACTGATTGGTTTATTGACTGATTGATTGATTGAGGTTGACAGATAACCAGAATAACAAACACTTTTTGTAATGCATTCACTGAAAACCAGGACCATGAGATTGGAAGGCAAATACCTTAACCAGTTTTGCCACTATATTTTAAAATTTCAGTCCATATACTGAAATTAGCGCTACTCACTTATCTATTATGAGTATGCTGCGCCCCCAGGTTTGAAAAATTCTGGATCCGCCCCTGTTTAACAAGCGTTCCACTAAACTCCATTATATGCACATTACCCACAAAACTAAAACTCCCCACAAAATTCTCCCATCTTTGCCGACCTACAGACCCATATTGAAAATATCTTACCAGCTTCAGTAAGTAGAGTGTCAAATATGAATCGCTCCAATGAATGATTATTCCACTGTTTATAGGTTCCCTTGAGGGAGTCTAACAGATCTTTTGTATGCCTTTCATACAGCTCCGTGGGACTGCTCAAGCCCTGCACATCTGCAAGTGTTTGTAGAGAGCTTTTGGCCTGGAGGATAATAACAAAGCAGAGGTTTGTGTGTCATTGTAAGCATAATTTGACCATTTTGTTTACGAAGACTGACTACTACTTGGAATGGGTAATTCATTAATATATGAATAATTCATGTACCTTCTTATGAATATTTTCTTCACGAGCTAGTGCCAGTACAGTTAGTAGTACAGTGAACAATTGCAGACTGGCGGAGTGGAGTCGATCTTGATACTTCGATCCAGTTGACATGATGGCGTCTGCACAGGAGACTAGCTGAAGCTGGTACATTGGCTAATAATTTTCATTAAAAATAATACAAGTTGTATTTTATTATCTATTAAATGATCATATTGAATACACATGATACAATACTCTTATTACCACCATTATGAAATTAATTGTATTCTTAAATTAAAATGAACGTACAGTTTCAATTCGGCAGACTTCATCATCAGCTAGTGTAACACATATTTCCTTCATGTAGGCCTCAAACAGCTCAGGCTTTGAGCCTCTGATGATTGCAGCAAATGTCATCAGTGTATGAGGATTTTGAGTGCTTTTCAGGGTGGGTAGAATCAGTTTGCAGTACACCTCTGGGCTAACGTACCAGCCTACAATCTCGGCCGATTTGATGACCTAGAGAAGTGAAACAAATAATATAAAGAGATATTTTGGTCCTAAAAAGTGAACCATAAATCTACTGGGTTGATATACATTTATCCTTGCCACTCCGAAGGAGAGGTAAAGACTATTGCAAAAGCATGCATGTGTGTGTGTGTCTGTGTGCGTCTGTCCTTCCGAGCACATAACTTAAAAACTACTACTTAAAATTTTCACAAAATGACACAGTTACATGTGTCTTGATCCTCCTCAAATTTGCTGCTGAACAGAAGATGCTGATTTTAGAATGCTGATATTTATATATTTTCCGGCTGCAACAGACAGAGCCAACTCAAGCGGATCGTTCCACCGAGTCGTTTGGCTGGGCTGAGTCGATTCAAGTGGATCGACCATGGGCGGATCGTTCGGATTGACAATGTTTTAAATTCTAACCGGTGGAATGGATGTGGGCCAGACGGCGTGCCAACTCGCCCGATTGATGGACTTGCCACGTGAGGCCTATGATGCTAGGCCTCATTTGCCTTCATTATCTTGCTACTAACTACAGTATCTTACTATTATTAGTATCTCTCATGACTATTATTTTTGTTTAAGGAGAGATAAAAAAAAAATTTCTTGTAAGTAGGACTGTTTTGCAGCACAATTTATCACCTCAATGTATTAATAGCAAGAAGTCACTAACAATAATTAACACTTCCACACTACTGTACAAACAATAAATCGTTTTTATTATCACCAGTTCTGCTTAAGGAGTAATCAAATAGTTATTTTTGGCCTCAGCACAATTGTTAGAGATGGAAACAGTAACATACTAATGAGTCAATGATAACAACAATGACTTTTTATTTCTCTAATGACCTCTCCTGAGTAAATATGAGGGAGTTCTAAGTAAATACAGTTTTAATACACAATGGCTTTATCTCTATGGATGCTAACCAAAAGCATCCATTAATAATTGAATCTTTCTTAATGCCAAAATCACTTATACAAGAAACTCTGAAATAAGACATAAACATATAGTTCACCTGTAAAATCATTTTCAGATTCAAGCATAAAAAGGTACAGAAATTTACCAGTTACTTACCGTTATAATTTAACAAACACACTGCTGCACGTTTTGATAATTTTTTTAGGTTTTATTAAAATTTTATGCTGCTATCTCATAGTTTATGTAGTTCAGTGATATTTATTCCTTTGAATAATACTTTTTTTACATAATTTGTGTACTATATAATGTTTACTGTTCTTGTATGATTTTGATTGATATTATTGACTAATTGTATCAATTATTAAGTTTCTGTTAAATTATCATTATTATTATTATTATTATTATTATTTATTTAGGCGCACAACACATCTACCAGGGATTGTCAATAGCGAATCACTGTCCTACTCACACAATGCTTCTTTACACGAAATAAATCTTAATATGAGCTTTAGGGACGGGAGTGGAGTTGTTTCGGTTGTGAGAAAACAAACCTTGCAACACAGACAGGAATTGACCCCATGACACTGGGATTGGAAGGCAAGCATCTTAACCATCAAACTATTCAACTCAATTCAATAACATATTCAAGACAACAAGAACTTTGCCATTTGATTACCTCCAAATATTTACCCACAATTTTATCATAAAAAAGATACTGTATCTACAGTCTCTCACCCTTTTCACAATCTCCGCCTCCTCGTCTGCACATGCTCTATACATCCCCGTCAGGAGCTTCTCCATGTACTGTGTGCTGTTGTCCTCTGCGTTGATGAGCAGAGTATGCAGGAGCTTCACTGACATCAGCCGGTTTGCGATCGTCCAGTCAGTGAGGTCTCTTAGCAGGCCTGGCAGAATCTTGGACATATTACGTAGGATCAGTGTACGGCAGCCTAGCCCGGGCCTTGCAACTGAAGATAAATTTAAGGATTTTACATGTTGAGGACATGTACCAGTGGCATGTCCATTACTGCAAGATCATCGGAGGAGGATGGAATAAAATTAAAATTTTGCTTTCTTATTTAACAAATAGATTTGCCAAATAAAATTTTATTGGTGAATGTAAAATAGGATAGTTAAATGCTTCAAATTTATATAATTAGGATGAAATATACTGTACATATCTTATCTTTGGAGATTTCAAGGCAGCGGAACTTTTATTTTTTTCTGATATTTCCACTTTTTCGTGGAGGCGGGTGCACTAATTGGCCAAAATTAAAATTTAATTTTTATTCGAAATCATCAATATTTGCAGTTAGCGGGTTTGCTAAACAAGGTACAAAAAAGCCTCGCCTAAGAAAGCTCAATTAATCTGATCTCCTGAAAGACTTCTTCAAAAGTGGGATCCCTGAAATGCTTTCTAGTCAAAATGGCAATAAACCAAAGCGGCAATAAACCAAAACAGCAATAAGTCAAAACGGCAATAAACCAAATCAAATTATAGTTAAATAAAACTTTAAAATACAGAGGCTAAAACAATTTATGTCACAGACTAAGTTAAAAATGCAAAAAAAATTAATATGATAAAAATAATGATGATAATAATAGGCCTAGGCCTATTAATAACAATATAACAATACAACATATATGTTGTATATATATATATAAAATCAATAATAGGATTGGGATAAACACAATATAAAAGCAGTAAACATTCAAATAAATAAAACTTTAAAATACAGACAAAATGAGGCATCTAAACAATTCGTAATGGATGTGTAAAAATATTTTTTAAAAAACGTGATTAAACATTAAAATAATAATAATACAGCAATAATAATAATAATTCAATAATAAAAGGATAAAAAAAAAATCAGATTAAACAATAAAAGCGGGAAAAAGAGCCCATGGCAATATTCAGTTGGCCTACAGACGATCTGACCAATTTCAACCCGATTCGGAAAATTATACACTGTGGCCCGCGCCCGGCAGCGCTTGCTCTTGGCATTGATTTTGCTCCTTTGTCGTTTTGGTTAATGTCTATTAGTACTTGCCATTGCCGTTTTGGTCTGTTGCCATTTTGGTACTTATCATTGCCGTTTTGGATTATTATCAATTTGGTTATTTGCCGTTTTAGTTTATTGCTGGTTTTACCTGCTATCCCTGAAATACTTACAAATTCCTGGTGCAGTTACAGCATCTACTACAAAATTCATTTTATTCTTCAGTTCTTCTTCATTCTCCTTCTCATATTTTGCACCAACTTCATCCCAGAGTTCATATGCCTTGCAAAAAAGTAAAGTAAATTGAAAAGACAATAGACTTTAGTAAAATAAATAATGTTGGTATTATTGAAAGTGAATTTGGAAATATTAAAATATTATTGAATTTTTCAGAATATCTCTGATACTGATACAGTAAACAATAAAAAATAATAACCAGTGTACGGTATACATTCTTCCTTCTACAAAATGGAACATACCATTCATGATCGACCAAAACAAAGGACTGTCCTGTGATGAGGATACAAACTTTGAGCATTTTTCTAGCCGAAAGAAGAATTTCTAACTTGTATATCACAGCCATTTTGGATTCAAGGTGAAGATGACTGTAGTACATTCTGCTGAACCTCTTTATTGATATCTATTTTTTTTAAATCTAAATTTCTTAATTCTGTATTTGGAAATGTAGAATTCAATGTTTAGCATTTTGTATGCTTGCCTATTCCCTGTATGACACAAAAGTATGTGTGGGTTTGTGTCGGACTAGTGTGGGGTTTGTGTAGTGTGGGTTGTTGGCGTATGTACCTTTTGACTTATATCTGGAAGTTCATCTGATTGGCTGGTAAGTAAAATTGGTATCAATTTATGATGGAATGAATAGCGGTCAACAAATTCCATCAGCCACCATCCAACGACTTGCGTGACTGCTAGACGGACTTGTGGTGAATGATCAAAGAGACGTTGAGTAAGGTGCGAGATGACGTTCTCCATGGGTTTATGACTCCCAAATTGGAGGACATCTCCTATCGTAATGATACACTGTACCCGCACTTTGGAATGCTGGTGACTGATGCACTGGAGAAGAGGGTTGATTAAAGATTCAGACTGCATGTGAAAGTGTTCTGGAATGCCTCTGGCGACCTTGCAGGTGCAGACACAACTCTGCTTACGGACCTCTGCGTAGGGATCAAGGATGGTTCGCTCCAGAATCCGTATGAAGTCATCAAGGTACGGTGAAATTTTTTTACCCGTTAAGTCGACAATCTTTGTTAAAAGTTCAACCAAATTGAGTCGTAATTCTTCACTAGTTTCTACTATTTCTTTATTTCCTAACCTCTGTACAATCGTTGGCATTAAATATGGAAGGACTTCTTCTGGGTTGGAAATTCTATCCACAAAGTCAATCACTAGCAAAATCGATAGCTCTCGACATTTTTCTACCTGTTCGCCTATGCTTTTCAACAGGGGCTTCAAGACCCCGTCGAAAACCTTCTGCAAAACCAGACTGTCTGGCGGTGGATTCCTACATAATGTCTCTTTTCTTATTCCTTCAAGTGCCCTTTTCTTTACCATTCGTGTTCCCTCACTTAAACAGTTTACATGTCTTGCAACAGCTTGTAAAATATCATTAGCTTCTTGAGTTCCACTCTCCATATTCAGATTCTCCGCCATGTTGTTGCTGCGGACGCTCTTTTGTCGTCAAGGATAAGTTTTCATAATTCAGATAACTAATAATAAAAAATAATCAATACATCAAAAATCAGCAAATTATATTTTATATAATGATTTTTTTTATTATTAACAGCATAAATTAATTGAATAGATTAAATATTATTGCGTAGGTAAATTGTGATTTGCTATTATTTTTTGGGGTCAACAATATTTATTTCCACTTGGCACGATCCCATGCTTTCGCCGATTCGCGAAAAATGGCAGAATTTGTTCATCAAAGTATCGAAGAAGCTCTGCCGGAGCTTGAACAACTTGAAAGGATAGGGCTTTTCACAAAGCCAGAGATTAAGTATGCATGTTCTAATAATTATATTTGAAAAAATTGCTGTAATATGAATGATTATGCAACTCGGTTATAGCTAGGCCCAAGCATTCGTGAGAGGTCGGCTTATTATGGTATGAAGCTGCGGGGATGTGGCCGATTTGAGTGGTCTATTGCACAACGAAAACGAGGCCTAGGCCTACGCCATATGAAATCTTGGTATATTGGTTCGAATTGAGTTATATCAATACTTTATATTCGATTTATTAACTATATATTTAACTACATTTATGTATTGCTTGTAGGTCAATAATTAAGAAGAAAAGAAGCCATGAATATCGACTGGTTCGTCGAAGAAAAGAAAAAGATGATTTTCTCAGATACATACAGGTAGGTATACAGTAGGCCAAGTTCCTGGGCTTACCCATGCTTAATTTATGTTTCGGTAAACAAAATAAATGAATTGTTCGAAGTGTATAAATTTCATTAATCATTATTATTGGAAATGTCTTATTTGTACTTTTCCAGTATGAAAGGCCAGGTACTACCAATGCTTAATTTAAGTTTCTGTAAACAAATAAATGAATTGCTCAGAGTGTTAGTGTATCAATGTCATTAATCATTATTATTAAGGAAATGTGTTATTTGTATTTTTCCAGTATGAAATAAGTTTGCTGTCTCTGATCAAGACCAGACGAGAGGTAGGTTTAACATTTTGTTATACATTAATTTTATGTAGTACAGTATTATTTTATTGGTATTATTTCTACATTTATTATATTTGACAAGTTCATTTTATTTCAGAAAATCAGGTACTTCTTCAAGAAAGAGGAAATTGACTTCTCCATTGTGTCACGGATTGCTAAACTCTTTAGGGTGAGTTAGAACCAATACCAAGTGCAACCAGACTAACACCACACATTCCCAACCCTCCATATAATCACTACTGTTCTTGTTTTAATTTCAGAGGACATGTACACTTTTTCCTGAAGATCTTAAAGTCTGGTTGTCGTACATGGAATTTCTAAAGAAATGGGTATAATATGAACAATTATTCAATTTAGTGCATTTTGTAATTCATAATTCTGCGAAGTATTATAAAGTATAAAGTATTAATAAGTATGGCTTCAACTGCAATTGTTAGCTGTTAGAAATGGCACAAAAAGTTATACTTTACTTTAATATGAAAATTGCTTCATGTGCTTTTTATAAGCGTTTTTATGTTAATCCATTTGTTTTAATATTCTTCCCACTTCTGGTTTAGAACAAAAAATCAATGTTGAGCAAAATGATGACAAATATGTTGAAAATCCATGGCAACAATCCAGGTAACTATTATGTGTATTCAACACTTATATATGAATATTCAGAATATCAAATGAATATGTAAAACACATAGAAAAAAGTTTTACTGTATATATTTTGTATAATGCATACATAACATCAATCAATATTCGTATATATTATATATGTTATATATTATATATATTATATATAATATATATGATATATACAATTTAATATATATATATTACATATATATATATATATATATATATATATATTATATTTTTAGGTTTGTGGATAATGGCTGCAAAGTTTCAGATGGAGGACAACAGTTCATCGGAGAATGCTCGTAGCCTTTTACTCCGTGCTTTGCGTCACCACCCAACATCTCAGAAAATATGGCAAGAGGTAAGAGAATGGTTATTGTGGCATCATAGTGAAGGTGCCCACCTTGCAATTTCAGTATCCTAGGTTTAAATCCTGCAATTGTTTTATAAAAGTAATGTAGTTTTGAATTGGTACCGTATACATATTTACTTAAATTTTTTTCTGGTTTTTCATCCAACAGTATTTCAGAATGGAGCTTATGCATGCCGATAAAGTAAGTTTAAATACTTTTATATAAATATGCACATATACAGTACATGCTAAATATATAGTTGAATACCCATTTGATCTGCTGAATTATCAATAGTGTGTTTGAAAATTTATGATTGTGACACTCCTAGATGGGCGGGGAAAATGGCATTCTCAGATTAATTTAATATAATTTTCTTATTTTCTCCATAAAAAAAAAAATTTTTGAAACATTTACGGACCCAGGCCAGCTTCCCCCCTCCCCCCCAAAAAAAAAAAAATATACAA